CTACCCCCCACCCCCCCACCCTCCCCGCCAGGTGGGGCGGTCGCGCGCTCGCAGGAGAGAAACTTCTGACTCAGAGCGGTTCGATCCAGGCAGGGCTTCATTTTCTTCCTTCCTAACCGCCGGTTTGGCTCCAGACACCAGCCTGCTCTGCGTTAGGAAGCTGTGTCCCAGGGTCTCTCTTCCCTTTGCGTCTTCAGAGCTCTCAGGAGTAGCTCCAGGCCGGACCGCTGAGGGAGGGGAGGGGTCAGTGTCAGGGTCGCCAGGGCGCTTTGTCGGTAGACCTGCGCTCCGGTCCACCGGGAGAGGGGCCCCGAGGCCCTGCCGACTGCGGCCTCGCCACCCCCCCCCGCCCCCGCGCGCCTCTGCCCGGGGCTCAAGTTGCCCACCGAAGCCTGCAGACCTCCTGCCTCTCAGGGTACCCGGCGCCGCGCGTTTCTGCTGGGGATCCAGAGCCTCTCCGCCCGCCCGGAGTCTAGGGCTTAGCGGTCTGACTGGTTTTCACCAAATCCTTAGTCCAGGATCGCCAGATTTCGGGCTCTGCCGTGTGAGGACGCGGAGGTTTATGCAGAGAAAAGAGGTAGAAGGGAGTCTTTCCCTCCACGCACACGGGAGGAGCTGCCCACCCACCCCAGCCAAGCTCGCCCCACTGGGCCCCTAAGAGCTGGGCGGTGGAGATGCTGAGCGCCGGCCGGCCGAGGTGTGCAGTGCTGGGGATTCTTGGAGGGACGCGGGCGTCGTTGGGGACATTAATCCCTCCCTCCCGGCCGGGCCGGCGCGCTTTGTGGCCAGGGAGGCTGGGCCGAGGCTTTGTCCGTACCGGGAAGGGGGCGAGGACTGCGAGGGGACGCTCTCGGGGTCGTAAATACCAGCGGCTCCTAGGAACCCTCGACCTTTTGTGTCCGGCGCTGTGGTCTGATCTTCCCGACCTCTGCGGGGATCTCGGGAATTAGAGAGCGGGGGAAGGGACGGGAAAGCTGGGGTGAGAACGCGGGCCGGTGCGGGTCGGCCTCCGCGAGTGGGGGAGGGGTCTGGCGACGAGGGACCGCGGTTGCCTCTCCGAGCCCGCGCTCGGACTCCGGCCACGGGGGTCCGGACCGGCCACGCTAGGCTAGCCTCTCCCCCCCCCCCCAGGCCTCTCCGGCCCGCCGGAAAAGCGGCGAAGAAAAAAGAAAAGCCCGCCCTGGAGCCAGTTCTGGCCGGGGGGCCAAAGTGGTCTTCACTACCAGCCTGAGAAACTCCTGGCCGCGAGAGCGCACGAGGGACACACCTGGCCTCGGGTAGCAAACAGGCCAGAGACGCGGGCCTAGGGGAACAGAGTGGACCTGCCGAGCAGAGTTCTGAAGTCATGAAAATGCAGCCCGGGATCTGAAGATGCGAGGGGGCACGTTTTACTTTCTCCTGGGGCAGATCCCTTTCGGCCTGTACCGGGCTAAGGCGAACTGGCTCTGCCACCCCAACTCCAGACGATGTGGGTTATGAAACGCTGCTGAAAATTAGTTCAACGAAGGTTTCTCCTCCCTTTCAACATCAGTATCTTAAATCTTTCCTTCTATGAAAACGGAACATCTTCGCAAAACTGCTATTTTCGGAGTGCTTTAAGATGGCAAATAAGCTCTTTACTGTCTTTTCTGTATTTGCTTATGGTGCGTGAAAACAGCACATAACTTATTTTCATTACAGTTTATATTTAAGAGTAATTATTTCTTGGTGGTTTTTTTTCTTTTGCCCATATAGGCTTTTTTTTTTTTTTTTTTTTTTTTTTTTGCTACTTGAATGGCAGATTTGCAAGTACAATTTCATCTGCACAGAGGAACAATAGCTTTCAGTGGCACAAAGGGTTTCTCCCACCCTGAATTCAGACCGCAGTGCCTCTTGCTCTGATAATAGCCTCTGAAAAGATTTTGTAATGCAGAGAATTAATACATGATTATTTCCGCCTGGCTTCTCTCTTATTAGACTTCTGTGGTTCAGTTAGCAGCTTTAAAAAATACTTCTAAAATATTTCAAGACACCCCTCCCCCTCCCATTTTTAAGTTTGATCACTTGCCCTGGCCTGAAAACTCTTTTGCTTAAAAAAATTATCAGTTTTAAAGTGATAGCAACTATATTTTAATAACCATATCTTAGTAAATTTAGAAATTTTCAATTCTGACGTTCATCAGACCAGCAACAAACTTGTTACAGCAAGTCATTAGTCATCTCTGAAACTCATTTCTGCTTTCCAAGGGAAAGACTTTACCATGATGGTAACATGGGTCCCCACAGACTGTGGGTCTCCAGAAGAGTAGGAGGGGGCACTTCCTTCCTCTTATCCCTGGGAAAGTCCTTTGCTACCCAAAGGGGGAGAAAGTGCTACCACAGGCTGGGGGCTAGGTTGCAAATCGAATTCCTTATAAAGGAGCTTGTTGACAACAGACATTTAATATTAATGAAATTGAATGTTTATGCCTATAACTTTTTTAGTGCAAGCAGATTTTAAACTGAAAGTCAGCTACTTAGGTAACAGGCTCTTTCAAACTGGTTGTTAACAGAACCTTGGGGAAACACTACATCTTGGTACCTGTCCACAAATATTCACCATAAAGTTCTGTATTGGTGTGGCTGTCTCCATTCTCATAATTTAGTCCGAATATATATTCATTTTCTCTCTCTCTCCCTCTTGCTCTCTCTTGTTCCGCTCTCACTTGCTAGCTGGAGGCCACTTACCACACAATGTTTTTAAAGAGTTCTAAGGGTGTTTGTCCAGGAAGCACCCCACCCCCTTCACCTCACAAGCACAGATCAGAATGCTTAACTCAGTCGGGGCAAAGTCTGTAGATTCTGATTTCTAAAAGCAGTTCCACAAATTGTGTCTGTGCTCCCACACTTACTTTGTATCATAGCTTTTGAAATACTGTATATTCTAAACTCAAGGAGCTGCAGGTGGCCCAGTCAGGTTGCAATTCACTCAAGCTGCATCTGACCTGATATAACTTGGATTATTCCTAAGAAACCATCCTACTCCAGTGTCTGAGAACATGGTAGTGAAGTGATGCTAAGTGTGCCTCCTGCATCCAGGATGCACAGATTTCCTGGGTACCTCTAAGGACTTACTGCTGAGGATGCTTGTCTACCCTCCTCAGCACTGCTCCAAACTTTCGAGGCGGGGGGACTTCCACTGGGCAGAAGGTATTCTGCTTTTAAAAGACATCTGACTGTAAATGTCAAAGTCATAAATATTTAAACATCATTTTCTTTCAATTTCAAGTCAAGACTGATAAGATGTCTCTAATTAGTCTGGGCTGCCTTCCCAGGGCCCCAGGAAAGTGCCTGTGGTCCACACTAAGCCAGTTCTGCCTCAGGAGCCATGTGAAGAAGAGGGACTGTGGCCCACACAAGCCACACCTGGGTCAGACCCTCACTTTTAAGCTTCTACCCGGGCCCACTTCTTTTTCTTAACACCCTTGGTAAGCAGGTGTTTTAAGTTTGTTTCTTAACTCCATAAAAAGAAAAGAATTGTAAAGTTGTATAAGTCAATCACTATACTCAGAAAGGCACTTCCAGCTCGTGTGAAAACAAAATAATTTCTATCAGTTTTCTTTCTTCTGGTCTTCAGACCTGACCTGCAGCTGGCAGTTCCTCCCTCCATTCCCAACCCTCAGGTGCTTGGCGGAGCTTTTGCAGCTCTTCTCAGGCAGGGGAACCCCAAGAAGAGAGACTTTGCATTCCACTCCTAGGGCCAGTCCAGAGCTTGCCTGAAGTTAATACCTCAATGTCAGACATAATTCCCTTCCCCTCAGACCTGCCTTCCCTCAACCACAGCGCTTCCCACGGTCCAGGCTGCCCTCCTGTCCAGACACTGGTTAATATAGCCCAGACCCTGGGTTCCAGCCTGTTTGTTTCCCACCTCACTTGCAGTCTGCTTCAAGCAGAAGCTTCCTCTCTGGTGGGTTGGGGATGCTAACGGTCTGCAGGCACTAAGCCTAGGTAGCAGGCACTCCTCCTCCTGGGGAACAGCTCTGACCCAGGCAGGGGGGGGGGGTGTGGGATAGTGGGCGGGGAGCTGGGGGGCACCTTTCTGGGAATAGTTGGGGTTGGCCCTCCCCTCTTCTTCGGGGAGCCAGGGAGGAGAGGTGAGGTGGTCTCTCTGGGCCTTTCTCACTGACCGTTTCCTTTGGCCTCAGAGTAAATCCCAGGACACACGCAAAGTGAGAGGCAGCGGGGCAGGTCTGTCCTATTTCCTGCCGGCACGTCAGTGGCCGTGACCATCGGTTTGGGGGAGAAGGGAGCAGGCCTCCAAGCTGCCTCCCCGTCCAGTCCCGGGTGAGCACCCTTCGCCAGGTACCGGTGCCCCAGAGACAGGAGCCAGGTTCTCCTGTGGACAGCATTACGTGCCCCTCGCCTGGCACCACTGTCAACCTGGCAGCGTTTGTGCCCTTACTCTGGGCCTGTGGCCGCTTGGCGCCCCGGCCAGGATTGAATCGGCTCCACCGGTCGCACGTGGGTCCGCGGGTAGGATGCAAGTATGCACTGATGAGTCTGCCATGTATGGTGGCACCACGGAGGTACCCGGAGCACGCGCCTCTTGTCTCTAGCCGGAAGGTTCAGGAAGTTCCAGTTCCCACGCGCGGTGAGCCACGTGGCCGCCCAAGGCCACCGGAGGCCTGGCCGGGACCTCGGCCCTGGGACCTCTCTCCTCGGCTTCTGGAGCTCTGGGGAGAGGCGAGAAGCGTAGCCACTGCCTTTGTTGTGGTCTGCCGAGGCGAGGCGGGAGCAGGAGGGCGGGGACGCCCTCCCACAAGGTGGCAAATCCAGCCTTTTCCCGAACGGGGGAAAGGGGCCACTCCGTGCCCCTCGAACTCGGCGGCGGCCTCGGGGAGCTCGGTTGCTGTCCCCGCACAGCTGGGACCACACTGCGCCCTGGGGAGTGTGCGGGCCGGGATCTGCGGTGCCTGGAACCCACGGCCGGGGCGTGGGGAAGCGGGGCGGCTGCTGGGCCAACTCCAGCCGCCTGGAGCGCGGGAAAGATCGCGGGAGGGCCACCGAGACCCAGCCTGGAGAGCACACTCCGCTCCCCGCCCTGGAGCACGCGGTGGCTGTAGTCCTCACCGCCAGCGCTCTAGGTTATTTATGTGGTTTTGACTCGCACCAGCCACCAGCAGCTGGGGAAAAACAAACAAACAAACAAAAACCAGTGGGGCTTGGGGACGGATCGGGCTTGGGGGCTTTGCTGTCTTGGGGGAGGGGCGGACAGCTCCCGAGTGACTTCTTTCTGGAAGCCCCTGTGTGGGCCCAGTGGGAGAGGGAGAGGGAGGGACCGAGGGAGGAGAGAAGGGCGGGAGGAGAGAAGGAAGGGCGTCCCCACCGCCCTCTCCCGGAGCAAGGCCCGGTGCGTTCCCAGCCGCGCGGTCGGGCCACTGGGGTCCGGGCGCGGTGCCCACGTCCACGCTCGGGTCCTCGCCATCCCCACCCGGCCCCAGGCTGGCACCCCACGGACCCCTCTGCTCAGCCTGCGAGCCCCCCTCCCCTCGTGTCCTCCGTCCACTCCCGCCGCCTCCTGCGCACCTCTGGGTCCGGAGCCGAGGTGAGCCGCGCATCCAGGCTGGAAATCCCTGCGTCTTTTCTCATTTAACCCGCGTTTCCATTAACTCAGTCCCGGCGCCCGCTAATCCGCGCAGCGAAGGCAAAAGGAGGCTAATTAATGACCAGCTTTTCCAGTCAAGACCGGCGATAATTGCTTTGGTGGCCTTTATGATTACAAGATAAAAATGGGCCCGGCCCGACATAAGAGGCCCTGTGTACACTCTGAGACCGGAGGAAACCAAGACTTGGGAGGCTGAAAGCCGAGCAGAAAATTACTAATAGGAGAGAGATCATGAATAGGCCGGCCAGGCATTCATGGGGAAAAATCCATTTTGTTACCACGCGAAATGAGGTGGTGGAAAAAGAGTTTGCTAATTGTGCCCCTCTTGTGGCAACCAGGTCGGAGGCAGGGGCGTGCTCTCTTTTTCAATCTCCTGAGTAATTGTGGGGGTTGCTGGCCGGCAGTCGTGGGCGATTTGCCTGGGGCCCTTCCATTTTCCTGTGGCGTGTTTAATTGTTGCTAATACACCTCCTAATGAAGCTAATGAGGGGGGCGCTGTCTGGCTATTTGCCCTGGAGTTGAGTGACGTGCACAGAACAGATTTTCTCACATGCTCCCCCAGGATGAGATTCTGGAAGGGTTTGGGGGGCCTTCACTTTCAGGGCTCTGAGTAGTGAACTAACTGTGCAAGCGTCCTGCTCTCAGGGTCCTCGTCCCCTTTGAAGGAGCCATACTCAGGTGCCAGGAATGGGGTCCGTGTTCGCAGATCCTCCTTGTAAGAGTGACCAGCACCTTCAGGAATGCCTTCCAGGCTGCCCGTGAGATGTTAGGAGGCATAATGGCTTGAAGATGAGTCAGGCCACTGCACTTTCTGCTGGGGCTGTTTGGCTGTTAACCCCTCCAACCTCACCCTCTCCTGCCCACAAAGCATGTGCTGTAAGTGCATGCTCCTGGACAAATCCTGTATCTGATTAGAAGGGATGCATGCTTTGTTTTACTTAAGGCAGCAAATTAGCTGCCAAATCTTTTACATTAAGTTTGAAAAACAGCCACCACTGGGCTAAGAAAACTCAGCATTGGCTCTCACCTCCTGTTTGATGTAATTCAGTCTGCGGGGGCTGTGTGTTGGCTTCCCCTTCCAGGGGAGGATGGTTTGCAGAAGTCAGGGTTCCTTATGTACTAACCTGTCCTCTTCCTCCTCCTCCTGCAGAAGGACAAGCTCAAGATCCTGCCCCGTCAGGAAGAGCAAGAAGACTCCACCAAGTATGCTGTGCTCACCTTCCTGTCCATTGCCTGCATGCTGGTGGTTCTCCTGGCTTCTGGCCTTGCTTACTGCCTCCGCCACAACTCCCACTACAAGCTAAAGGAGAAGCTGTCAGGGCTAGGGGGCGACCCCAATGCAGATGCCACTGCAGCCTACCAGGTAAGTAGAAACTTTTTTCACAGTGCTCTTTTGAATTAATCAAACTATTATATATATATATATATATGTGTGTGTGTGTGTGTGTGTGTGTGTGTGTGTGTATGTATGTATGTATTTTTTAAACCTGTCTCTGGTCCCTTCCTCATCTCCAGCAGTCATTCATTAATTCATAGTTTGGGCTCTTTTATGATGACAGTTTGAAACTTCTCATTAACATTCATGTAAATACCTTGCAACCACAATTTTACCGCTCTGTATTAATCTTATGCTGTTCTTGGATAGTCTCCTGTTAGCTGTGAGAGTGGGTTGCTAATTAGAAATGTGGAAAAAGTACAATACATGAATTATGCATTATCTGTTATCTTCATTTGACCACTATTAATGAAACATGCCACAGTTGCAAGATGAATCAGTTGTGTAGATATTTGAGGATGGCTCTTAAATCATCGGCTTCCTTGGGGTCTTATAGAAAGGGATCCTTTGACCTGATCTATTGCCACCGCTGCTATTATTCAGATAAAGTAAAGCCTAATACTGACAAATGGAAGGTAAACCATACATGTCTCCATGAGGCAGCTGTGCCAGCTGTGACTGGAAACAAACATGAGCCATTGACATGCCTGGGGCTGGACCAGTGGCCTGGAGAACGGAGGGAGGGAGGTGCGGATCATATAATCAGCATCCCGTTTGGAAGATCCATAGCATAGATTTCATAATTAATGACATGCTATAATGAAACTCTTACTTTACTTTTAGTAGACGTGGATGCCCAGAATATATGTAACACAAGTCAGGGATTTAGAGTTCCTTAATATAATCATTTAAATCTGAATATACATTCCCACTTAGGAATATAAAATAATTTACTTGATTGATATTTTTTTCAGCGTAATCAATATGCATTTGTAAGATTTTCTCCCATAGGATTAGATCTTTTTGTCTTTTCTAATCACATGTGATATGTAATGTCTAGTAAGTAATTCACATGTCACAATATGAAACAAGTGCTACCCTCTTGTCAGAGTTACCTCAGTGGACTGTCAGGCTCTCTGAAGAAGTACCCCAACTGACCAGCAGTGACCCCCCAGCTGGTCTGAGCTGGCTGGCCCTTGCTCTGTATCTGCTTTGCTTCTGCCCCATGTGACAAGTTGGGATGAATTTATAAAGTCTCTATGTTTAAAAGAGACCAGATGACAGCTTTTCCTCCCATTTCAAAATTCTTATCAACATCACTGAATGGAGAAAACCTCTGGTTTTCTGGAGGGGTCACAAGCCTGGTCAGGACGATCTTTTTCTTATAAAGAAATGGCAACTTCAAATGCACTGAAGATGGCATTTCAGGCACATAGCGCCGAGCTTTGCTTCAAAGCAAAAGAAAAACCACGTTTGAAGAAGCAGCCTGAAAAAAAATGTCAAATAAACTAGTAAGAATTTACCCAGAAATTCTATTGAACAAGACCATCCGTGTAGACGCCAGGTCCTCAGGGCCAAACCAGTGTCAGAACATAAATAAATTATCACACTAGTGTGTTCCATGTGTGAGGGACAGGGATCATATGGATATGGATTTTAGGAAGTATGGCATCCTTTGATATACTTTGAAATTCAAATATGAAATATTGATAGAGTGGAAAGGTTGGACTTGCATACAGAGCTTGCTAATTTTTACAAAAATGTGGATTGGAATGCGTACTTATGACTGAGTTTGTGATAATTAACAACAACAACAGAAAAAAACCTCTTTCCAGTGACAGGTCTAATTAATAGTATCTGTAATTAAAATCATGTCCTTGCAGCAGGAGAACTGTTTGAATTTCTTAGAGTGACCTTTTCGTGTCCCTCCTGGGGGCATGGTGGTTAAGTTGATATTGATTTTATAATGAGCTCTGGTTTGTTTAATAAGAATCTGTGATCCCGACAATAAATGAAATGTGTGCTTTTCTCCAGTCCAGATTAATAAAAAGAAAAGACAGGGGGAAACTTTTCCTTTAAAAATATGATCTAGGAAAATTTGGAAGAGAAGAGATAGTAAAAATCTTCTATTGGGCTTAGTTCTGAAGTCACTACCAAATGCCCCTTGGCAGCTACCTCGGTAAGATGGGGTCTGTTCCCACCAGCAGCAGGCTCCTTGGAAACACCCTGTGCTGGGAAGTCCTATTGCTTGTTTTCAGTAGGGCAGGTCTCAGCACGTGGGAATCACGTGGTTGTCAGCTTCGGGTTTAGCTGGGTGATGTACTGAGGGTGCACAGTTGTGGTTAACTACAGAACGGCTGTGTGGATATACGAAGCATCCATCAACATGAGAAGCCATCAATGGGACTGTACTGCTCTGGGTTTTCTATAGCTGTCATTGAGATAACCTCCATGTTTAAAAACCTTAAAAGTTGTTTAAAAATCTGCAAACGCAAAGCTGAGATGACTCAGCCAGTAAGAGCAGCTTGCTGCCAAGCCTGATGACCTAAGTTCAGCCTCCAGAACCCACGTGGTAGAAAGAGGGAACCCATTCCCACAAGTTGTCCCCTGACCTACACAGACCCCCCACACACACAAATGCACACACACACACACCAGCATGCCCCCCAAATAAATGAATAAATATGACAAAAACTCCAAACGTAATAATAAATTTCCGGAGTTGCATTCATGTATCTACTTTTAAATCTTGAACTTCTAGGGATGTACATCAGTGGTAGAACACTTGTTCAGCATGTGGCTTGGTCCTAGGGTTATTTCCCAGTACCAAATACACACACACACACACACACACACATTTGTGTGTCTCTAGTACATATATATTCCATATTTGTTGATTCTGTAATAAAGTGTGGCTGTGAATAGACCTTGTCATAATTCTCTTCAGAGAACTGAACAATTTACTACTGTGCTTTGTTTCATGGAGACATGATAGAAACAATTCATTATTTTAAGTTTATGAAAGAGCACGGTTGCTGTGTATATGGGTTAAAAGTCACCCAGGAATGATGGAATGGTAGGCAACAATGTGTTAAGTCTGATCACAGCTGGAATGTGAAGCTACCTTGGGAGTGAAAGAGCTGAGTGCTCTTAGAGCGGAGGTGCTCTGATAATGGAGGAAGAGGGCACATACAGAAGAGGTGCTGGGGCAGCGTGAGCAGCCTCTGGTTGTACCAGTCCTTCCTCCCCAAGGCCCCAAAAGAGAATCCTCCTGTCCTCAGTTAGATAGCATCAGAGTTGTGATGGTGGGAAGATCTTTATGGCAGGAACTGAGAAGCCCCTCCTGTGCTTGACCTTTGATGCAGCAACTTCCGAAGCACAGGTGGGCAGGCTCCCCCCACCCTGGACCTGTGCACATAACCGTGGAGACCAAGGGCTATGGCCCATCCCAATGTCCAGAGACATGGGTAGCTGCACTTGAAATGACTTCAAAGAAGCTTGGAGTGTGAATTATTAGACTATACCGCAAACATGTCTAAACACTTTCGCCTCTTCCTGTGGATGGATTGTTTCACACCCAGTCAGTCAGAGATGAGAGAGAGAGAGAGAGAGAGAGAGAGAGAGAGAGAGAGAGAGAGAGAGAGAGAGATTGAGAGAGATTGAGTCAAATCTTTGGCAAATTCTTATTTTTGACCCTGTTCAAAAATATTAATCCCATCAGATAATCCAGCAAAGTTTAATTTGCTTACTCTTTTATATTTGGGGTCTGTTGGCTTTCAGGATGGCTGAAATACGTGTGCAGAGGTCGTGCTTACTGTGTACTCAACAGAACTTTCCTCATTGTTTCTATAAATGTTTTTGTTTTAAATGTATAAAACGTGCTTGGATTAAATCTGTCCTTCATTATCCCAAAAGCAAGCTTTGTTTACTGCTTTTTTTGAAACACAATCCATGCGTGTCTGTGTGTGTGTCTGCTGTCTTTCTGTGTGTGTATCTATGTGTGTGTGTGTGTGTGTTTGTGTGTCTGCTGTCTTTCTGTGTATGTATCTATATATGTGTGTGTGTGTCTGCTGTCTTTCTGTGTGTGTAGCTGTGTGTATCTGGGTGTGTGTGTGTCTGTGTCTGTGTCTGTGTCTGTGTCTGTGTATGTGTGTATGTGTCCTGTCTAAGTCTGTGTGTCTATGTATGTCTATAAATATATGTATATGGTGATATGTCTGTATGTGTATCTGTGTGTGTATATGAGTGTTAATATGTCTCTGTGTTTGCCTATGTGTCTCTACATGGGTGTGTATGTGTCTGTGTGTCTGTCTGCCTGTGTCTAAACATGGAGGCATGTGTACCCATTGGCTGAAAGGCACAGAATCCTGGTGCTTGGCACCAGGGTACTCCTGCATCTTACTCATGCAGATGTCCTACTTCTGTGGAAGGTGATTGGGTAAAAACTGTGCCAAAAGTAAGTTGTTAGATGATTAGAAGTCATTCTCCCTTTTCTCTCTGAGTCTCTTTGAATGTTGCATCCATTTCTTTGAGGCTTTGATCATCTCAGAGCACCAAGTTTAGTATTCTGCGGCCCAATCTCCTTCCCTGATGCAAGGGCAGAGACTCCTGCAGAATGCTCAGCAACTTCTCTTTTGATGGTTTATTTCACAATACCCAGTAGGTTTCCCTGTGTACTTGGAGGCCTTTGGAACAGAACCCAGAGGAAAGCATGCATTGGGCTTCAGGACTGCCTGCAAACAGAGTCAATACGTGCGCATCTCATTGGGCTGCTACACCTCCCATTAGCCAGCGATTATTATTAATGTAATGACAGAGCATGTGACTGCTGCTTTTGGGGGTGTTCCATGCACTCGGGTTGATGGGCCTGCTCACGTCTGCTGAGGGAAGTTGAGTTCCGTAGGGGAGGACAGGTCACACGTTGGCTCGTTCTCCTGTGAATTAACAGACCCTTCTGTGTCTAGGTGAGTTTAATCTTCCATAATTGGTGTAATCAGTCGTCATGCAAATGGGGAAAGGATTGGATGGCTCCCAATTAAGTCAGAAACAGTGAATTTCCCCCAGATGCACTTGACCTCACCATAGGT